CTCTGCATGACCTAACGAGATCCCTGTACATTTCTTGAGTTGACTGCCCCTTCTTCCAAAAGTGGTAAACTTTCCTTTCTTTCCTGAGTCCCAGCAAAAGCTCCCTGTTCAGCCAGGCCAGTCGTCTTCCCCACCAGTTCTCCTTACGGCACATGGGGACAGCCCGCTCCTGTGCCTTTAAAACTTCCTTCTTGAAGAACGTCCAGCCTTCCTGGACACCTTTGCCCTTCAGGACTGTCTCCCAAGGGACTCTTTCAACCAGTGTCCTGAGCAGGTCAAAGTCTGCCCTCTGGCAGTCCATGGTAGCGGTTTTGCTGGCCCCCCCTCCTTACTTCACCAAGAATCGAGAATTCTATCATTTTGTGGTCACTAAACCCAAGATGACCTCCGACCACCACATCTCCCACCAGTCTTGCAAGTTCCATCATTAGTCCTCAATTTGCAGTAACTTTAAAAATAAAAGCAATAGTGAGTCTTGGGGAGTTTTCATCATTGCACATGTACTACTCTTTGAGTACTGAGTTGTATTCCAAGCTTGAAAATGAAATAGGCTTTTGCTAAACATTTCTCTGGAGATTTCTGTAGCAAGTAATGGCAAGACTTTGCTAAATCCACACAGACTCACTTTCTGAGAAAGCTTTATCCTGATTTGTGTTTTAGATTACGTGTCTCTAGTTTTCTACTTTAACATAAAACTTTAATACCCCTGAACATTGTTGCTTTTTAAAAAAAAAAAAAAAAAATCTCCCTTATGGATTAAGACTGGCTAAGCAAAATAGACAGGCAGAAATTGCCAGAGAAGGAGAAAAAAAAAGAGTTGCAGTGCACTGCAATACAAACAGCAGGCATAACCCTGTCTTCCTGCAGAGGGGAAATTTCCACCAAAAATCACTGCATTATCTCCATCCCTGGGGCTGTCGGTTGTATAGTTGACTGTGACTGACACTATTGCTGACTAAATAGTCTCATCCAAGTGTATGTATGCCACTGTGTCTGTGTATACATATCTCCTTAATTTGTACCCTTCTTATCTCATATTCCTTGTTTTTTTAGCTGTTGTTATAACTGTTATTCTAATCCAATTGCTGTCCCTTTTTTGTTTTTTAACTTTTGTACTAATGTAATGCTCCCCATACAGCCAGGCACAAGCTGTTTCTAAAGATGGAAGCATTTGAAACTGTTTCTAATTATTACTGGAATTTGAATACACAAATGTAACAAAAAAAAAGATGAAAAACAGTCACTAAGGCTAAGCCGAAGGAGTAGTTGGCAACACTACTTCAGCACCGGTACTTTAGCACTTTAGCAGCAGTGAGCTGTTTATGTACAGCTATGTTATTCCTTCTGAAATCCTTATGCTTCCTATGCATGTGGATATGACACAGCGGCAGATTATTTACACTGGGACTTTCATGGGACTCTTGCCTTTTGAGGTCTCAGCCTGACTGTCACCTGCCTCTTCCTTCAAGTGAGGCAATCTCACGCAGCAGTTGGCTGATACGGAGAGGACAGACATGAAATGTAGGAGACATGCCTAGTCTTCCACAGTAGTGGCTGTTGTCCCCAAGCAAGGGTCTCTCCAGGGATATGAGAACATCTGGGACCTTGGGTGAAGAGGCGACTGGCTTGAAGCAGCAAGCTGCTTAGATGCCTGTAAGTCACTGATCAGCATCATAGGAGTGCTCAAGAGAAAGCTTCATCTGCCTTCCACAGCTGGAAAAGATGTCTTAGAGCTGCTGTATGCTGTAGCCCATTTCCCTCTCTGCCAGGGCCTGCCAGTATCAACCCAGAGCTTAAACGGCTGTTACCATGAACTTGAAGCAGCATTTTCCCATTGCTTCCAGTTCCTGAAGATTTACTCCATATGAACTGTGTGACTGTCAGATGAGCAAACGGAGTCATCCAGTGCTGACCTCCTCTGCCATGAGAGGCTGTGGTGCACTCAACAGCTTCCAGATAGAAAAGGTATATCTTTAAAGTGCAGCTCACACAGAGGTGGTGTTACACAACATGGGTGAAAAGTGAAGTATACTTGGTTGGCAGAATAAGCAGCACACATCCCAGGCAATCTCTTAAAATATTGTTAGTGAAAATACTTAATGGCAGTAGGGGAGTGGGAAGCAAAAAGCCATAAGGAAACCTCACAAGAAATGTCTTAAAGCATCTCTTTTAAACAGCCTGCAGAAAACACACGCTCACGTTTTCTGTGCTTCCTGCTGGTGATGTAAGTATGGTTTCTCTATCACTATATCAGCTATAGCTCAGTCTGACATAAGCCATAGTCTGTCCAGGAAAGAAACTCCTGCATTGCACTTGGAGGACTGCGATGGCTTACCTGGTCTCTTGCACTGGATAGTCTTCATGTCAGGAGACCACTTGAGATTGGACTCGCACAAAACGGAGCGTGCCCCTTCTAAGTGCATGCCATGTGGACAAGACAGAGTTATTCTCTCACCAATCTCATACACAGGTTTCCATGGCTCTCCTTGCAAACCCCCCTCCAGGACGGGCAGGAGGCAAGCAGTTTCTAAGGATTGAAGCATTTGAGATAGCCACACTGAATCACTGGATTGCAGAAAGCAGTCACATATTTTATCTTCTCCTAAATTCCTTAACAAATTGAATGGTAAGATTAGCTGATTTTCCTGTAGAAACATATCAATCATGTTAGCACCAGGTATTAACTCATTACACCAGCCAAAGATGTGCAATACCAAGGACAGAGTGACAATATCTTCTCCTACTACCTGCAGGTCCAGCCCTACCTTGAAAAGGGCTTCTCTGTTCTTGGGACCCATGCTTCTGTTGAAGGTTCATACCAGAGAGTAACATCCTAGCAGAGAGAGGTCATACATATAGGGCCCTGGGAGACCATTTACTGATACGCAGAGATGGCATTTAAACAGTGTGGACTAGCATTTGTGGGAAGTCACTCCTAGTTGGAAGGAGGAAAGAATGGTGTTGAACTGCAGGTCTGAAAATTCCAAAGTCTATAAGATCACACTCAAAGCTGACTCACAAATAAAATATGCAGGGAAAAAAAGAAATCCTAATGGTTAGTGACCAGTTTAGAGGAAAAGAATGATGTGTGGAGATCATCCAAGATGTAAAGTGATCTTTGGAGTTGTGTTCTTATGATAAGGCAGTTATTTGAGACCTTTGTGGTCGCCCAGTGCTGTCCACTGGACCTTTTCCTCAGTTGGCTTTAGACATAGACTCATTCCCATCGTTCTCGGATATAGCCACAGGACTGAATTAAGCAACAAAGTTTGTTTCCACAGGAATTTAGTCTCCCTCACTTCCAGCCTTCCTTAAAACCGGACTTTATGGGCATGTTTCTATTTCAGTATTACAGTATCTGGATTCAAATTAAAAGTCAGTGTAGACCTGATTATGACTAGGGAACTGGGAAATGCAGGTGTGTACTTTTCCCCCCATTGTTATTGGAAAGCAGATGTTCAGAGATGTTTCACTGGAATTCAGGAATGGAGTTGTATTTCAAAACAAAAATCAGTTAGACATACCCTGGCAGTATCTGTCTCCAACTTGCCACTGTAAATTACTGCCACACTTAGCAACAGGATTACCAACAAGAGAATATCCATGTCTGCAAGCATAAACAATGCTCTTCCCAAGAGGGTATGAGTTTTCAGCATTCTGAAAGAAAAGGAACAGGTGAAATTTTGGATATACAATCTAAGAACCACCAGCAGCATTGAACTCCCTTTGATTCTGGGAGGCAGTAGCTGAGGACAGTGAGAAGTATTAATGCCGCTCTACAATGCACTCATGAGAGTATCTGGAATACTGGGGGCAATTCTGGTTATCAATAGTCAGTAAATGTGATCAAAATGGAGACGATGCTGCAAAAAAGTTGATAGAATACAGAATATTTGGGCTACCTTAACTTAGCAAAAGGAGGGCTAGAGTTGAGGGTACCCTGTGACAGAGGTCTGGCAGTGGTACGTCAGTGATGGAACAGCACTTTCCTGCCAGAGTATAAACTGACTAAAAATATGGCTGTTATCAAATATTAGAGGGGGAACATAAGCTCTTGAACAGCCTTCTGGGGGGATCAGTGGAGAGTATATGGCTTTGCTAATTCTTAGGATGGCATATTATCAGCTTGCTAAAGGTTAATGTGATGTGGTCACTCATAAGAGCTGGACTTGAAGACACAGGTCTTTTCCCATTTTATATACAACTCTCTTCTAAGGAGACATCTTACGAAAAATTGACACTACTCCACAAATTGCAGGGTTTTTACCTTTAATTTGTGAACCAAAAATATCAATATAGGAGACAACTATTGATTAGCCACAAAAAAACACTGGCAAAAGAGGGAGCACAAAATTTTGTATTAACTGTAATAGAGACACTGCGGGTAGGGATAAGACAGATAACAGAGTAATAGAAATAACTTACTTGAACAAATCCATTTTCCAAGAGAGGAGGAGGTGAACAGAATTCTGTAGGAGTTATGGATAAATCAAAACAGTGTGGTTCAATCAAGCTATGAAGAAAACAAAAGTACAATTTAGTTGGAATTTTGGCTCCCTTCCTTTCAAAATTCTTCACTTCTCAGTGAAGCCCATTTTCAAGACTATTATGCATGTCATTTACATGACAATTATACTTAAATCAGGCACTGCCAGGCTATCTGAGAGAGTGCTAAATAGAATGGTGTCAAGTTTACTGGCTTTTACCCTATTTTCTATTCTTACCTTGCATCAGATTCACAGCTTCTGAATTTCATTTTGTTTCAACTTAAATATGAAAGCTCAGTAAGTGATCTTCTCCCTGAATTCAATAGCTTATTCACGCTTCTGAAATAAATTTTTAAATCTTCCAGTAGTTGTGCTCCAAATGCTTTTTCTGCTTACCGAAAATGCTGCAACTCTTCATCTTCACATGGTCTGCTTTCACGCTGCTCTCCTACGCAGGCCTTCCCCCCGCCACGCGGGGAGGGGTTGTTGCAGGTTCGACTCCTTGATTTCCTTCCCCCTGAACAAGGACTCCAGGAAGACCAGCAGCTCCAGTGTCCATCAACAACACCTATGCAACATTTGGGAATATTTCACATTAAATCACTCTGTAGGTGGTTTAAAGGCACAGGGTGTTCAAAGCCAGTGATGGTCCAAACTGTGCCCTTACAGAGGGTTCCAGATTGCAATGATCTGATCTTTCACCTTTCCCAAACTTGCCTTTTACATAAGTATAATTCCACGGAGTCTATATCAGAGTCTGACAGAACATAAAAATAGCTATCAGCTACAACTAATTACAAAATCAAAAAGCAAAAATTTTTGAAGTTATTGATACTCATTCATTTAGTATATATACTTATTTATAGAATGTTACATTTTGAGTGGTTAGTATTGTCCACAGTATTTAACAATAATAATAAAAATAATTCTTTGTTAAGTATTGTTTGGACACGTTAAGCAAAGACTCAGGCTCAGGATGACCCTCCCTGTGCTGTACATCTGCAGCGATATCTGACCCAAGCAGCCACTGCACATCAGCCACTCGTTCAGGTTGTGCAGTGGGACAAACAGACTCTGGAAGCAGGAGAGCACACTTTGCCACTTCTAAACTCTCACAAGTTTTAAGAGTGCTGACCTGGCTGATCTTGCACGAGAGTTCCCAGCTCACAAGCTGCTCCAAAGGTGTAAGGCTTGCAGTAACACACACACTGAGTTCCTTCCACGGCCGCCTCGCCACCATTCTGGCAAGGCTGACATTTGCAGGGATCATTTTCAGCCATATATTCTTCAATGGCTTGTTTTAGGTAATGCTTTTTGACTGAGGAGCAGGGCACTTCCTTTACCAGCTCATATAATGGTGTTAGCTACACAGAAAAGAGAAACATTTATATTAAATAGTTATAATTGGGATATAAGAGTTTATAAGCACATTTCATCATGCAAAATGATTTTTGATGTATGCTCCTGCACACGGGAGTTGACAGATTCTCTAATTTGCCAGCTAGCTAGCTAAAATCTTATGTTAGTATTTAATATTAGCCTTTTTCTTAAAAGTCAGCTCTGCTTAACAGCATCCCTTAAACCTAGTGGTAGATTAGTCAGGTTCAAACATACTTGAGCTGTGAGATTATGGTTGAGATAAAAGTGTAACACAGACCACCAATGTACAGTAACCCGAATTCTCATCCAGCTACTCCCTGCCAAAAAAGCTGGAAATTTAAACAACCCATTACGGTATTCCATTGAGAAGTAATTGAAAGTAACAATACAGAAAACCATTTTGATTTCTGTTGCCTGATTTATGATCTTCTGTGCTTTCACATTTAATTGAAAACTTCCTGACAGAAATCTTTTGGGTTTATACCATTCTTCAGTATGTAGGCAGTTCCCAAAAGGGACTTAGACAAGGTAGCAGTGAATATGGCCATGCCCAACTTTGAAGTGTCTGGCTTCCAGAATCTCCAGTTATGCTAAACTCCTGGATGCAGAGAGAAGGAGGAGGGATAAAAGGGATACACAGAAGTTGGCAAGCTGAGTGGAAGCCACACAGACCTGCCAATATGCATTTCAGGAAAGGGACTATCTCAAATCTGGGCTTTCTCCAATGCTAGGGTGACCCTCCATTCTTAAGTAGAACTCTGGTTCTACTGGAGGCTGGTAAGATTGTAGGTATTGACTGCAATAGATCGTGATGCAGCTGATCATGGTAGCTTCATGGCATTTTCTTCCTGTGAACTTTTCTTTTCTTTTTTATAAAGTGATCTGAAAACAAAATGTTAGCAGACTACACCCTGATTAATCACCAGCTTTAGCGTAATCGTTTCTCTCCTTGAGGTGATCCCATCTGCTCATCTCTGCTTCAGGAAAATAGCCTTACCTTTTGTTTAATTACTCTGGGATAGTCTGTCACTGATCTGGCCCAAAAGGAGTATCTCTGACTGTTCCCAGCAGGATTATTCAGCTCTAGATAACTAAGGCCAGCAACAGCACCTGGGCTTCCTCCTTCTATGTAGGGGTCTCCTTTAATCTTATTACCACTGCTTCCTGTAGATTCAGGATGGGAAATACAGAAAATACGAGCATTGCTGTATTTACAAATGGAAATAGCAAAAATACATGCAAAAACTATGCTAGCAAGTTGTGAAAAGACTCATTAGTGCAGATCAACCACCTGTGCCTGGATCAAGAGCTCCTACATAGTTAATACATAAGAAGTATCTGGTTTTGCAGGTGTCTTGGCAGCCCTGACTTCGGGTGTCCAGAAAAGTACTAGTTACTGGGAAAGCATTAACAATGATTGATGAGTGTTGGAGAGCCTTTTAAACCAGGCACTTGGTGTCTGGGTTCAACTTGTTAAGATAGAGTTCAACAAAGCTATCAACACCTGTTCCTCATTTTGTCAGCTATTTAGGATGAGATGAAACATGGAGACATGACAACTGTACAGGTCACTGTTGAACATTTACCTGAAGCAGTCTGTAGCAGTTCATCCAGTTTGGAGCACTTTACTTTCTTCTTTTTCACAATGAATGCGTTCCAGCCAGATGTGGTGCACTCGTACATGTCTGTTATGCTCATACCTGCGGATAATCAATCCATTAACAATACTGTACACAGAAAGTGTGTTGGATTAATTTCCGAGTTTCCCATTGACTTGAGATGTCATGAAATATTATGCCTAAATTAGAAGGCAACTAACTAGCACATCCTATCAGAAGGTACATGCATTGCTAAAACCTATGGATGATGGCTGGGAGATGGGAGGTGTAAATGGAAAAAGTTTATTGTTTCTTTCATCTCTTTTCTCAGCAGTCCCTAATTCTACAGCACTGCTCTACACTGAGTACCATCATATGTGTCACTCTGGTCTTTGCTCTGTTTGTGATTTATTCTGCTTTACACAGTTTTACCCAACCTTCATCTCCAAGTAACTTTTAAGCTTTAACATTATTTGAAATTTAGATTGGCACTAGAATTCAAGTTTAGCCTGATGAGGTCCCGAACCAACTATAAAATCTTTGCTACCCAGAGCACTGCAGGTCACAGATGTGGATCTAGAACTAAATGTTGTGATTTCATCACTTTTTCTAATCTTTCTTCTTTTGCCCGTGACGAGAATGTGGTGATTAGTAGAATTCTCTTACCTGATTTTAGATATTAGCTGGGAGAACATGCAAATAAATTTTTACTCCTGTTTATTCACTTTGTCTCTTGTAACAAATACTCTAGTACTCTACCTTCTGCTTTCATTTTGTCAGTATCCATATGAAAAATAACTTTGTAATGTCCTCCTAGAGATCCAGAGTGTAAGAAATGAGTCCCAAAATGTTCAATAAGTCTTCGGTAGATGTTGTACTCGTAGACAACAGGAAGGTTGGCCACTTCCTTCCAGAAGGGCTCCGCAAGAGTGAGGAAGTCTGGGCGGTTGTTAATAAACTGAGCAACTTCCACACTGTTCTCAACAACCATCAGCTGCTTACTCTGGGGGAAGGAAAAGATGTCAGTCATGCTTCATGTCACTATCAGGGTGGTTCCTACTAGTCAAATGACATGCACATTATATTGGCTACTAACTAACAGTTTTACAGAGCTGGTAGATATATCTAAGCAACTCGGTGAATGCAAAAAGAATACCCTGAAGTTAGGAAACATCTTTTGGACCTTTATTTATAGTGGCTGCAACATCTTTCTTTTCCTCTTGTGTACCTGAAAGCTAGCAGAAGGCCAAATAAGAAAGGAAAATATCACTCTTCAAAGCTAATGGTGGTTTCCAACACCAGAAGGCTGGTGGTAGCAGGTTAACAAGCCTTCTCTGAAAGCAAATCAGAGGAGCCTGGATGGAGAGGTCTAATTTGCACTGTTTTTTCTAGAGGAGCCTTTCTTTGTAAGGGGCTCTAGCCATTTTGAGGTTGCTGCTAAATTAAAAAATCCTATATGCTTATGCAATATTGTTCACCTCAGCCTCTCAAAGTTGCTTTTGAACTTTGTTATGCTAAGTCTCAAAATATGTCATTGTTAGTGTAGTAAAATGAGCTTGTCCTCTGTCAGCTTGGGGGCCATAAAATATATAAATGTCACTTGATTTTATTTGCTATAAGATAGAGGTTATACTTCATAAGTGAAAGTTACTTTCAAATTATTTATCTAATGCTCCTTTTTAAATAAGGCATAAGGCATAAGCACTGTGACCTCTTGGCTGTTTAAGACACCAGATCTCTCTCTTAATGGATTTCTACTACTGGAAAATGTATTATAAAATAAACTAACTTTAATCACAAAATTATTTCAATATTTTTGCTCCAAGATACTGACAGAGGTAATAGAAAAAAAAAAGGGCAGTAAATCATTAGAAGAAAATGGAAAAGATTAATGCGAAGAAGCCACTGTTTTTCTTCCTCAAATAGGGAGGAAAACAGCTAGTAAATAAATAAATTACTAATAAAGAGGTAAAATGGAGAAAGTAAAAACAGCAGCCAATGCTTCTTAATTGATAACCAAACCAGTGATCTCTTTGTAAAGGTTTTATGGGATTTTTTCTGTCATGCACTTCATGCCAAAAATATCTGAATAAAATAAATACTTGCATCTCACTATAAAAGCACATGAAAAAATGATGAAAATGTTTATGCAAAATACTAAGCCACAGTGACAACTTATACATACCTTTTGACTGTGTTGCAGAATTTTATTCTGTGAATAACTGTGTCCACTGTTTGATTTTTCATACCTCTCTGTGTGTTTCATGTAAGACCAGCTGCTGTTGAAAAACTCATAACTGAAATCGTTCTGAATTTTAACCTAGAACATGAAAGAGAATTCTCTATAAAGAGCTTCATGAAGGATGTCAAAAAAGATAACTTATATAATAGAGCAAGTCCTTCCTGATGCAAAAAATCCAGTGTGTTTTTCAGGCTGAATCCATTTCAGATTTCATAAAAAATACTGACCACTATTGGAAAGGCATTACGTCTAGGATAGGCATTACATGAAGGATCACAGGTCAGCAGGAGCGCGCCTGAAGAGCAGCACAAAGGAATCCCATCCAGTAAGACAGCTTCATCGGGGCCCCAACTTAAATGCCTCGATGCAAACGCACGTAGCATGGGGAATAAACAAGAGGAGGTAGAGATGTGCGCACGCCTGCAGGGCTACGATCTTATGGGCATCATGGAGACGTGGTGGGATGGCTCCTATGACTGCAGTGTCGGAATGGAGGGATACAGGCTCTTTAGGAAGGACAGGCAGGGGAGATGAGGAGGGGGTGTCACCCTCTATGACCAGCTGGAGTGCATGGAGCTCCGCCTGGGGATGGATGAGGAGCCCACTGAGAGCTTCTGGATCAGCATTGAAGGGAAGAAAGGTGACATTATAGTGGGGGTCTGCTACAGGCCACCTGACCAGGAAGACTGAGCAGATGCTTCTTAGACAGATAGGCGCAGCCTCACATTCACAAGCCCTGGTACTCATGGGGGCCTTCAACCACCCCACTATCTGTTGGAGGGACAACACGGCAGGGCATAAGCAGCCCGGGAGGTTCCTGGAATGCGTCGATGATAACTTCTTCAAGGGATAGAGGAGCCAACGAGGAGAGGTGCTATGCTGAACCTTGTTCTCCCCAACAAGGAGGAGCTGTTGGGGAATGTGAAGCTCAAGAGCAGCCTTTGCCACAGTGACCATGAAATGGTGGAGTTCAAGATCCTTAGGGCACTAAGGAGGGTGCACAGCAAGCTCAGTACCCTGGACTTCAGGGAAGCAGACTTTGGCCTCTTCAGGGATCTGCTTGGTAGAGTGCCATGGGATAAAGCCTGGGAGGGAAGAGGGTGCCCAAGAAAGCTGGGTAATATCCAAGGGTCACCTCCTCCAAGCTCAGGAGCGAGGCATCCCAACAAAGAGGAAGTTGGGCAAAAATGCCAAGAGGCCTGCATGGATGAACAAGGAGCTCCTGGATGCACTCAAACACAAAAAGGAAGCCTACAGAGGGTAGAAGCAAGGACAGGTAGCCTGGGAGGAATACAGAGAAATTGTCCGAGTGGCCAGGGACCAGATTAGGAAAGCTGATAGAATTAAATCTGGCCAGGGACGTCAAGGGCAACAAGAAAAGCTTCTATATGTACATCGGGGATAAAAGGAAGACTAGTGAAAATGTGGGCCCTCTCCCACATGAAATGGGAGACCTGGTTACCCAGGATATGGAGAAGGTGAAGGTACTCAATGACTTTTTTGCCTCAGTCTTCACCAGCAAGTGCTCAAGCCTCACCGCCCAAGCCGCAGAAGGCAAAGGCAGGGATTGGGAGAATGAAGAACCGCCACTGTAGGAGAAGATCAGGTTCGAGACCATCTAAGGAACTTGAAGGTGCACAAGTCCATGGGACCTGATGAGGTGCATCTGCGGGTCCTGGGAGAACTGGCGGATGAAGTTGCTAAGCCA